TCCTTTAATTCTTCTTAAATACTTTTGAAGTAGGTGCAACATCAGTAACATAAATTAAGTCTTTTCTTTCTCTCATTATTTTAATAAATCCTTCTTCATCAATAATTTCTTTTCTTGCTGTATTACATATCATTCCTCCATATGGAATTCTTTTAATTAATTCATATCCAATTCTTCCTTTAGTTTCTTTTGTTAATGGAAGATGAAGTGAAATAATTTGACATTCTTCAAATAGTTCCTCTATTTCTTTTACTTGATTTTCAGTAGTGATGAATGGATCATATATTTTAATTTTCATCCCAATTCCTTCTGCTATTTCTTTAACTCGTTTCCCAACATATCCACATCCACAAATTCCAAGCCTTTTATCCTTTAATTCTCTTCCTTTCCCTTCTTTAAATCCTTTTCTAAATCCAAAAATCATCATCCCAATACAAAGTTCTGCAACTCCATTACTATTTTGTCCTGGAGTATTCATCACAACTATTCTTGCTTTATTACATGCTTCTATATCTATATTATCATACCCTGATCCTGCTCGAACAATAATCTTTATTTTCTCTCCTGCTTTAATTATCTCTTCATCTATTTTATCTGATCGAATAATTACACCATCCGCTTCTTTAATCCTCTCAATAACTTCCTCTTTCTTCTTATACCTTTCTATCATTATCATTTCATGTCCTGCTTTCTCAATTATCTCTCTAATCCCTTTAACTGCATTCTCTGAAAATGGCTTCTCTGTAATCACAACTATCTTCATCTCTTTCTAAGTCTTTCTCTTTCCTTTAAGTATTCTTTCTTTTCTTCTTTCTCTTACTTTATCTTTCTACTTCTCTTTCTTCTTTCTCTTTATTCTTTCCCACACTTTTTTCTTTCATTTTTACTTTTTTTGGTTTCAGAAAAGGAAAAACTAAAAAGGAAAAACTGAAAGAAAAAATTAAAAAAGAAATAAAAAAGGGGATACAAGAGGGGATACAACTGCTTTTTTTATTTTTTTATGGAAGGATAATTCCTTTTTCCCTCTAAAAAAAGAAACAAGCTGATTCTTTTGGTGTTGTAATTGATTTTTTTTAAAGTGGTGATATAAAAAGGGTTAGAACAATGAAACTAGTATTCCAATGAAAGCTTTACATTCCTCTGATAAGTCAGAATCAAATTCAGAAGTGAACGAAGTTCATTCAAGTTCTGATTCAAAAGAGATTGAGATGGAAGCATTTGAAGTAGATGAAGGATATGTAGAAGAAGAAATTGAACCATTACATAAGAAACATCCTAATTGTTGTCAAATTGCTTTTATGCAAAGGGCACCAAAATACATTAGAAAAGGAAGAAAAGGAAGTTTGAATGTTAAAGAAATTGGTCAATTACCACATACACTTGATATTGAAATGACTCATAAAAAAATTACAAAATGTTGGGAAAAAGAAAAAGAAAAGCATCCTAAAAGTCCATCATTATTAAGAACATTATTCAGAATGGAATGGGGTCATTTCTTGATTTGTTTTATTGCAATTTTAATTTCTCAACTTTCAACATTAGTTATTCCTGCTATTATTCAATTTAT